ATATATATATATTAGACTAGACTAGACTATGAGCTCTGGCGTACTTCCGGTTGACTATGGAGCGCGCCATTTGACAGTATTGGAATCCAGGGAAGAGTTAAGAGGGAAGAGATATAAATAATACATAGAGAGAGGGAACGAAAGAAAAAGCAAAAACAAAAGAATGAAAGGGAAGGGAAAAGAAGGGACTACAACAAAACAACAAAAATAACGACAACAACACAAAGACAGACAGGGAAAGAGAGAGAATCGGCAACCGTCATTAACGACAACAACACCAACAACACCACCACCACCAACAACAACAACACCAAAACCACCACCACCACCACCACCACCACCAACAACAACAACAACAACAATACAGGGCAATTTCCTTAAAACGAGAGGCTCAAATAAGTCCTGCAGTGACCAGTCACTACTGGCAAAAATCAGGACTGGTCACTTCTCTGGGCTGTGGGCCAACAAAAATAGAATACAAAACATCGGAGCCATCTGTCCATTGTGCAACGAGGAGCCCCAAGATTTGGAGAACTGGCTGCAGAGATGCCCCGCCACGGAGGTCCGGCGGTGGCATTTCTTTGGAGAGGATTTAGGGAGGTTGGACTGCCTCACACGCTACCCAAGGGAGGCAGTGGCCCTGGCGAAGAGCATGCTCTTCGGGGCTCGCTCTTCGGGGCTCCAAACATTTCGAACGGATAGGCTACCACACACACACACAACAACAACAACAACAACAACAACAACAATAACAACGACAACAACACCAGTTACTTACCACAAGAGTTATCCCGTACAATCAGACTCCGCTTCTTCTCCTCTTCCTGCATGATGAAAGTGCCGATGACGGTGATGATGACAGCGACGATAAAATATACACTCACTCACAGAATTTGCTGGTCTGTCAGTGTGTGCGCGTCAAAAATACACACACTCTCACGGAATTTGCTGATAGGGTGAGTGTCACTGCGTGTGTCATAAGCACACACTACACACACTCGCAGAATGTACAATCCAATACGTCTGTGATGTGTCCGTGTGCGTGTCAGTGTGTCAGTGTGGGTGTCATACACACACTCACTGAATATACAGTCCAATACGTCTCTGATGTGTCCCTGAATGTCAGTGTCATTCAGCGTGTCAGTGTGTCAGTGTGTGTGTGTCACAGAGCACAACTCCCACACTTTCCGGCGCTCGGTCCTACTGTACAACTCCTCTCCTCATCCCATGGATGACTGCCACAGGTTGCTGGGTACTAATTACACACAGAAGTGGCGTAACTTCTCCTGTCTCACAGTTTTCCACACGGGAGCCTCTAGCTCTCTTCTAAACCTCCCACACTGTGGTGTCCTGGCATGGGCGGTTGGTGGGAGAACAGTGCTACCCAGTCTGTGGGTGGCTGGCAGGTGTTACTTCTAGCCGCAAGGTCCAACTCCAACGTTTTTGTCGCGTTCTCCTGCACGTTTGTGACGTCAGCTGAGGGATAGACAGAAGAGAGAATTGTGAGGTCAGTAGAGGGATACAAAGAGGGGAGAATTGTGAGGTGAGTAGAGGGATAGAAAGAGGAGAGAATTGTGAGGTGAGTAGAGGGATAGAAAGAGGAGAAAATTGTGAGGTCAGTACAGGGATAGAAAGAGGAGAGAATTGTGAGGTGAGTAGAGGGATAGCAAGAGGGGAGAATTGTGAGGTGAGTAGAGGGATAGAAAGAGGAGAGAATTGTGAGGTCAGTACAGGGATAGAAAGAGGAGAGTATTGTAAGGTGAGTAGAGGGATAGCGAGAGGGGAGAATTGTGAGGTCAGTTAAGAGGGATGTATGTTTGTCACACTCTTGCGAACTATTTCCGGGATGCCTTGATAGTTGAAGCAGATTTTGTGCTATTGAGGCAAGAGAGGTGAGCAGAGTAAGCCTGATTCCCCGTTTGGACTTCTCTGTTGTCATCAACCCATTGGCGCTCATAAGAAGTTGGAGCGCCGTAAAAACTCTACTAAAACCAAATCTCTCTCAAGCACAATTCGCTTTTGCGGAAAGAGATGTACATGTATAGACAGAGGGTGAGAGAGAGAGAGAGAGAGAGAGAGAGAGAGAGAGAGAGAGAGGGAAGTGACTGAGAGTGTAGAGAGGGGAGAGAACAATACAGATAGAAAGAGGAGGGAAGGGAGATAGAGAAAAGAGAGAGAGAATATAGAGGAGAGAGATACAGGTAGAGAGAAAGAGGGGAGAGAGATACAGAGAGAAAAAGGAAAGAAAGAAGAGAGAAAGGGAGAGGGTAAAGAGGAGAGAACAGAGAGAGAGACGGGGGAAGAGAGAGAGAGGGGAGAGAGAGAGAGAGAAAGAGAGAGAAAAAGAGAGAGAAAGAGACAGAGAGAGAAGAGGGGGAAGAGAAAGAGAGAGAGAGAGA